ATAGGGGAGGGGCGGGGCGGGGGAGGGGGAGGAGGGAGAGCGCGCGCAGCGCGCCGTGCTAAACGCATTTGCAACTTACACATAAACCAAACTTTTTTTGTTAATAACTTTTTAACGAACAACGAGCGACGGCTAAAACCTTCTGAGGGTCACTCAGGAGGGTAACCTTGACCTTGACCTTGACCTTGAAGGTCAAGGTCGTAGGAGCTGGGTCCCCTATTCTGCACTTTTACCAAAATTAGTTATGGTAAGCAACAAAAATTTTCCAAAATTTGAAAAAATGTGAATAAAAATTGCAGAATTTGACGGGGACGACTTACTAGCGCAAGCAGCTATTTTCTTCACGGCTGGTTTTGAAACCTCTGCAATGACAACGTCTTTCACCTTGTACGAAATTGCGATGAATCCGGAAATACAAGACAGACTTAGAAAAGAAATTCTTGATGCGCTTGATAAAACAGGTGGCAAAATCACATACGACATGGTACGTAAACACAAATACGTTTTATATATAAAAATACGTTTAATAAGACGGAAATGGATTTGGTGTTATCAAATTTAATATACTTATTTCAGGTCTGGTCGTTACCGTATCTAGACATGGTGGTATCCGAAACTTTGAGGATGTATCCGCCATTGCCATTTCTAGATCGCGTGACAATGGACACCTACAAGTTGCCGAATTTCGATCTAAAGCTCGAAAAGGGCACACCGATTTATATCTCAATGTTTGGCATACACTATGACCCGGAATACTTTCCTGATCCACACAAATTCGACCCGGAGCGATTTACCGAGGAGAACAAACGTAATAGACCAACAAATGTGTATTTTCCATTTGGAGATGGCCCACGCGTATGCATAGGTGAGATCATTGTTTATGAGAATTAAAGATGAAATTAATATACCTAGCTATGAATTTAAGAATAAAGCAGCTAAAATATTCATTTATATTTTTGATCTATTAGTTATACAAGTTATATGAATCATGAATTCTTATGTAATCTATTACGCATACAATAATGAGAATGAACTCTATCCGTATAAATTACATAAGATCTACGATCTGAATTATGATATCGCGAAATTAGTCGGAAGTCGCATACATTGAATTTTGTAATAGAATTTTTACTAAGACAATGCTATTCTTATTTGTTAAAATATTATGAGACATCTCACGATATGTTATTTATTCCATAGGTTCTCGTATGGGACTTTTACAAACAAAATTGGGGATCGTTACAATTTTGCGCAAATACGAGGTAGTACCAGGCAAAAAAACTCTAATCCCAATGGTTCTCAATCCGAAATCTTTCTTGACGGCGCCATTAAGTGCTGATCTATATCTCACCCTCCGCAAGATTAAGAGCAGCTAAATAATATGTAACCGTGTTTGATAATATTAATATAATGTTTTAAAACCACAGAATGCATTAGACAGTCGATATTTCAAATACATAATTTTACTATAATAAATCACTAGTGGACATACATTAACTTTAAAAATCTTAGTTTCTATAATTTTAAGCGATTTTTTTATTGCATTCTGAAACTTAGACGAGAAAGTTCACGTTGAAATCGGAATTCTTTCAGTAACTGCGTATTATTTATGTTTCGATAACGAGTGTGTCATATACAGGGTGCTCCGCAACATATTGAAGACCGGTCATGGGAAGGTAGAGGGGACTAAGACAAACAGAAAAGTCCTGTACTATTTTGCGCTTGGACGAATAGTTATCGAGATACTGAATTTTAAAAATCGACGTATTAGCCCAACCTACTGGCGAATGTAAGCGCGCGGTGAGATGCGTCCGCTTAGAGAGAGTGTGGCTTCCTCTTCCTGCGCTCTACTAGGGGGACAGTTATGTTCAACCGCCCTTCCCCCTGTAGAGTCAAGTGGTTGAGCGACTTATGTTTGCGGTTTACGATCTTTATAGCATACATGATTTTACATACGTTGCTGATGGGCCTGGCCGCATCGTATCTGTCCCTGTACACTG